GGACCACGCGCTCACCCGGCGCAGCAGCGGCAGGCTCTGCGGGAGCAAACCTGGGGCTGTCGGTGCTAAAAGTGCCGTGTCCTGGTGCAGAGCTGAGGTGCCAGCCCCTCTTCTGTGCAGAGGGAGCAGAGCTTTGCCACTGCCTGCAGCAGCTGCCAAGCACTGGCCAATGCCAAGCCACTGGACTGCACGGTATGTGGTTGGTGTGAAAAAAGTAAGTATGTAAAAAAAAAGTCATTTTTCTAATGCCTGAGTTATTTTCCTGAACAAGGATAAAGTCACCCTGGCCCTCGTCAGAGCACTCAACTCAACCCCTGGGAAAGCTCCCACTACAGCAGTGTGTGGTGGCTCAGAGTGCCCACCAGTGCCCGGGGAGCCAGGCTCAGCCCAAGCGCATGGTTCCAGTGCATTTGGATTGAAGGGGGTCAGGAAGCAGCTGGCTGGGGCTTGCCTTGTTGGAGGAGAGCTTTGCCTGCAACTGGAGCTCCCAGAGAGTGAGAAAATCGTGCTGTGCTGAGATCCTCCACAGCACCCAAAGCAAGGAGAGGTTAGACTCAAACCACTGACTCAGGCCGTGCCTGTGCCCTTGGCTCACTCCTACCTGGCCCCGCAGGCTGAGCCCCAGTGAGTGCAGGGGACAGCACTCTCAGCCCCTGGCTGTGCCCGTGCTGGCCTCACTGGCCAAGCCACACAGCCACATGTCTCGAAAGTGAGGAGAGGGGTCAGGATGGCAGCCGCCCTGGCAGAGACAGAGACCATGTCTTCCTTCACTGACGGGTGCCTGGTCTGGCGCCTCCTCACTGGCTCCTCCTAGAGGTAGGTGAGGAGCAGCCTTCCTGGGGGAGAGACCTGGGACATGAGCAGATGGTGGTGAGGAGGCAGATGGGGCAGATGCCCAGCTCTTTGGCAGGCACCCCTGCATCCCTGCTCGGACCTGAGATATTTGGCTTTGCTTTGAACCAACATGACTGGAGATGCTCTCTCAGTGGGGGATGATGATGGACAACCTTTGGACAATGTTTTGGTATGTAACTAAGGCAAGAGGGGTGTTCTGGAGGCAAGAGAGCTGCAGCAAACTGGCTTCACTCACTTGTTGCCCCAGTCTGTTCCCAGGCACCTGATCGTGGCTTGTCCCAGAGCAAACACCTGCAGAGCCGTTGCCCAGCCCTGCTGTCCAGCCCTCTTCACTATTCCAAATAAACACCTGTGCCTGGAGCTGGGCCCCGGCACGAAGGTGAAACCACAACTCCTGGCTGCCAGAGAGATGCTGAGCTAACACACATGAGGGACCATGGGAAGGAGGTTTCTGTCTTTGGAAGTTTGGCTGAGATGTATTTCTGTATCTGTCAGCCATTTGCACGCCAACACTCCAGCTCTTTCACCACTTAAGTAAACACTGGCTCACTTCTCTAGGAGGTCTGACACTACTCACTCCGTCCCTGAGCCAGTTAAAACATTCCCTTTGACTTGGAGGGGCTCTGGGACAGAAGATCCACCCCTAGGCTCCAGACATAGCTCTGGTCACCATGTCCAGCACAGTCTAGCACAAAAGTCCTGTCACATTTTTAAGACTCTCTGGGGCAGGGCATGTTTTTACACTAGTCACTAAAACAAGGATGAAAACCACAGGCACAGCCAGGTGCAAATCTCAGTAATACCCAGGGCTGAATGACTGGAAGATCATCAAGGATCTCCTTAATGTCACAGACAACTGATGCTGGCTGCATAATACCACGGTACCATCCCCATCTCCAAGCATCATTTGGATTCCTAAGTACTAACTGGGTGACATTTATCCTTAAGCCTATGAACACCAACCTCCGTTCTCCTGTTAGCACTGCCTTCCTCATCCTTCTTCTCTTCAGGCATGGGAGCAAGCGGGAAGCCTCCTTCACTGCTGTCCTCCTTCGAGTGGCGCTTCCGTGACCTTCTCACATCTTCCTCTGGGCTGCTGAAATCATACTTGCGAGACCTAAATGCCATTTTCATGGACCTGTCTGGGTCTTCCCCACTATCGTTTTCCTCCATGCGCTTCTTTGATGTCAGCTGCTTGGCCAGCTCATCCATTTTGTTCCACCTTTTGGAGTCTTCCCACTCCCTGGAGGACTCCTCCTCTATCTCCTCACTTTTGGCACCCCGTAACTGGAAGGTGTCCTCCTCCCCTTGCATACCCTCATCTTCAAGGCGATGCCTTCCTCCTCTCAGCATCTGGCGCTGCTCTTCTTCCTCCTCCTCTTCCTCCTCCGAGCTCCGTCCATCTTTGCCGAATCCCAGAGCATCATCGTTATCTGAAAGATAAACGCAACAGTGACCACAAGTGTTAATCTGGTTATGCTTCACGTTTTAATTGAGCCATCAGGGGTTTCAACGTGGGTTTCCTGACTTCAGCCCATTTCCCCAGGATTCTGGAAATACCCACTCTCATGTCACCACGTCAGTAACAGGACTTGGAGGCAGCAGTCAAGAACTACCTGGGAAGTCCAAGAAAAGGAAATTAGTTGTCCCTAGGTGCTATGAATACTGAGCAGCAGGCAGCTGCTGGGTCTGCTATCCACAGTGCATGGGCCCACGTGGCCTGGTGCTTGCGGGGGGGGAGGTCTGGGTGGCTGCTGGCGGGGGTATTTGTGTAAACCCCGTAAGCACCTCCTGAACTTTTAGGCTTTAAAGCCTCTTATCCATCTGTCTCGGCACTCTCGGCTCACCCCAGGTAAGTATCAGTGCAGTCATCTGGGATACATACTGTCATCTCCCTGCATCTCCTCAGCCTCCTCATCCTCCTCAGCCAAATCAAGTGACCTCTCTGCTTCAGTAGGGTCCTCCTCTGCAGCATCGTCTCCTCCATCATCCTCACGCTCCACACGCTCCCCTGTCGCCTCCTTGCTCAGCTCGTGGCCCTGCCTGTATGGCTGCTCTCCCTCATCCTCAAGCTCCAGGCTGTCCCTGGAGCCTCTGGGCTGCTCCTCTTCATGCCCTCGCCGGTGCTGCTCATCCTCTTTGAAGTCTTTGCTGATGTGGTTGTCTAAAGCTTCATCTCGCTGAGCATCCTCTGTGTCCCTGATCTCGTTGCTCTCTGCTTCCTCCTGATCCTCCTTGTCATCAGGGTCAGCATCTCGTGGCCTGGGCTCCCTCTCCTCCAGACTGTTTTTTCCTTCCTCTCTTGAATCTTCATTTTGCTGTTTTTTTTGTGCTGAGAGCTCAGCCAGAGACCCCGTGGGCTGCTCCTCTTCAGGGCGCACCCCTGCCGCATCTGCAGAGGGAGGAGCAAGAAGCAACACCTCTCCTGAGAGCTCATTTCCCAACCAGTGAAGCCCACGTGTTTCTTAGTGAGCTTCAGCCCCACTCAGCAATCTGCTTAACCAGCCCATGGATCCTTTCGCAAGTCCCTTGGGCACATGCTCGCTTTCCAGCAAGCCGGGGCTCTCCCTGCTGCCCGGCTTCCTGGAGGGACTCACAAGGCTGAAGTTAGACATATGCCCGAGTGCTCTGCTGTGGCACAGTCCTCATCACCACCTTTTGAGATGCCAGCAACAAATCTGCCCCGCATAAAACGTGATCACACATAAAATGGATCGATTTTGGAGTGTAACACAGCACTTGCAGAGCTCTCCCTGCTCTGAGTGCTGCGCCAATGTCACAGCCTTATTTCTCCCAGCAGGCTGGAGAGGCAGCCAGCACTGTTTGCGTGCGAGCCGGAGGGGAGGAGGGCGGCTCTGCTTCTGCAAAGCAGCTACTCCGTAGGAGCTTAATGTGGGCTGGGTGTTTGTTCTTGCTCGTGTCAGAGGCTGGCCTCTTTTAACATAATGAGCCATAGAAATCACTTTGCAAAAGAAAAGAGGGGGGTCAAAGAGCAGTGGGAGAAGCCAGATGGGTCCGGCAAGGCAAGCGCAGCCTCAAGCAGGGCTGAGGAGTGTGCTGAGGTGAGGGGATGCAGAGAGCCTGTCACACAGGGCTGGTGACCACCAGTGGCACCGCACTGGTGTCACTGGGCTGCCAGTATGCCAGACCCCGTCCTCGCGCAGTCTCCGCACTGCTGGAGCGAGAGGTTCTGGTCTGCCCTGGCAGGAGAGAGTGCCACCCATCGTCTCCGTTGGCTTTTGGCCGTGCTGGCTGCAGCAGCAGCCCCGGGGGTATCGCTGCCCATGGCTTTGGACAGCCTGGGCCTGACACTGAAGCACTGTTGCTCTGCCATGGCTCAGCCATGTGCCCCAGAGCCCAGCTGAGACTTTCTGTGGGGGTGCTGCTGCTCGTCGAGAAATTGTCTCATCCCACGTTGGCACCATCTCTTCCTGATAGGGAAGATGCTGAACCTTCCTTTCCACTCTGCTGCCTGTCTCTAGCCAGACCATAGAAACACAGTGACAAGGGGAAATCCCAGCCAAAGGTGGTCTTTCAAAGATGTAGGTGTTCTGAGTGGGAGTGTGTGCTGCATGTATCCCAAGTTCCATTTTCCCTTCAGAGGCTCATAACCCAGCATCTTCGATGCCTGGAAACAAGGGCTCTTCCCTGTATCACTGACTCTTTCAGTACAGGATTTTCCTGGCTGTGACTCATTTTAAGCACTAGGAGTGCGTGATGGTTTTGGCATCAGGGTGGAAAGGAATATTACCAATTTGGTAACTTCATCACCACCAGTTACTATAGCTCAGAAATTACATGTTGTTTAAGCTGGTAAATAAGAACAAGGCAAACACAGGGCTGCTTGTGTGTCAGCAGCAGCATCAAAGAAGATGCCTAAATGAGAAACATATGGACATATCAAGGCTGCTAGAAAGAACATCCTTGTTTACAGCCTGACCTGGATTCCCTGGGGAGGGAAGCTGACACTGACCTCTCTGTTTGTTCTTGTCATTCTGACTTTCAAGGACTTCAGAAAGTTCATCTTCAAAGCCACTGTTTTTCTTCTGCTGCTGAGTTCTCTCGTTGGCACCTGTGTCAAGTAACAAAAAGTAGTGAAAAGCAACAACCCCTCCTGTGTTTCAGAAAGTAGAGGCAGGAAAACAGTTCTGTGCCCTTTATAGTTGTATTTTTTCAATTAACAAATCTGCCAAAGGGGAGCTGTGAGGAGAAGTGAGACTGGAGGACACATGAATCAACTGCAGTAAAAAAGTCACCACCCAAAACATCATCTGCAGGAAAGAAAAACGTCTCTAAACAAACAGAGAAGCAGGGTTGCTAGGAAAACTAACAATGATGGAGTACTAGGGAGTAAGAGATGCCGAACTGCAGCACACTGAGGCCAACAAAAGAGTTGAACATCAGAGTCTTGAAGGATAAAAATTGCCTCCTGCCAGATACTGTCCATGTGTCTCTGTTGAGGTGAGCACTGAGAGCCCCTGTGCTCTCCAGCCTGCTTTTGGGGGCCTCTCTCCCTAGGGTGCTGTGAGGAAGAAGCAGAATTCGTTCCCACTGGAGATAGTCCAGGGCTCCAAATCCCCACCATAGCCCCTGGGATTATGGAGCTTGACAAGAGCAACACCCTGGAGAAAGGTGTCTGAAAGGAGCACGAACTGGAGGTCAGAGTGCAGCTCTCCTGGCAACCAGCACTCCCCAGGCAGCCCTGTTCCAGTGGGATCTGCAAGCCAAGCAAGCCCTGTCTAATGCATTGCATGCCCTGCTTCTATGCCTCAATGCAAAGGCAAGAGCCGACACTGCCAGCCCAGTCCCCTCTGGCCCCACACTGGGCAGAGCCAGATGGTGGGCACTCGCCAGCCTGAGCAGGACCAGCTGCAGCCTGCACGGAGGAGACCAAGAGAAGCACTCTTGCTTTTCCCTTGCGCTGCATGACCCTCCCACCGCCAGTCACCCTGATCTGTGGATTAGAGCTCATGTTACCCCAGTGTCAAGCCA